GCATCGCTACTAGGAGCAAGGACGCTATTAGGGGCTCCTGGCATCGCTGCTAGGAGCAAGGACGCTATTAGGGGCTCCTAGGAGCAAGGATGCTATTAGGGGCTCCTAGCATCGCTACCAGGAGCAAGGACGCCATTAGGGGCTCCTGGCATCACTATACGCACGGACGCTACTAGGGGCTCCTGGCATCGCTACTAGGAGCAAGGATGCTATTATGGGCTCCTAGCATCGCCACTAGGGGCAAGGACGCCATTACGGGCTCCTGGCTCCTGGCATCGCTACTAGGAGCAAGGCCGCTATTAGGGGCTCCTGGCTACTAGGGGCTCCTGGCATCGCTTAGGAGCAAGGATGCTATTGGGGGCTCCTAGATCCTTGCTCCTAGTAGCGATGCCAGGAGCCCCTGGTAGCGTCCGTGCGTAGCGATGCCAGGAGCCCCTAATGGCGTCCTTGCTACTATAGTAGCTATGCCGGGAGCCCCTGCGTCCTTGCTCCTATAGTAGCGATGCCAGGAGCCCCTAATCGCTACTAGGAGCAAGGACGCTATTAGGTTGGCGGGTTGGAAGACTTCAACACAACCGCTTCTTATGAGACTTCAGCGTACGAGACCTCTGAGCTGCCTTGCCAAGGCGTTTCGCAACCCAAGACGTTCCTCCAAAGGTTCTCCCTGAAATACACCACACCTCGATAGCAGAGCAGTGCACATCCTCACCAAATGTCGCAACATCTCGATTCCCTAGCTGTGCCTGCCAGGAAAATCCTATCTCCAAACACGTCTAACACATGCAAACTCTTGCGCCTGCCGGATAAAGTGACTACTCAGCACGTTTGTGTGTATATAGCCCTGTATGCGAAATTCTGCCAGCTTCGCACTACTCTGGCCTCACGGGCACATCTCCCAAAAGTGCAATTGTAGCTGAGACCTGTCAACACCTCCCAAACACCGACCTAACGAAGCCCTACACTTCCGCAGAATTAATTACCAGGCACGTCACCTGTCCACGCTATTTCACGGTTCATGAGCCGGACACTTCCTCCACTCATCCTCAAGTAGGAGCAAGGACGCTAGCAGGGGGCATCGCTACTAGGAACAAGAAGCTACTAGGGGCTCCTGGCCTTACTACTAGGAGCAAGGACGCTGCTAGTCTAGGGCAATGCAATATCAAAAACTTCCCCGATGGGAGGGCCACAGAGATCAGGTTGCAAACGTCAAGCGAACACCACCTATCAACAGGGGTCGAGCTAGGCAAATTCTGGAAGCAAAGACCTTTTACGTAGCAAGGTACAACGGAAACAATCTTGTAATGAATATGAAAGTGGAGGGAAGCAAATACAACCCTAGCCTTTCTGTTCCTTTGTGTCCTCTGTAGTGGACTGTGAAGGATGCAGACAGCATCTTCACAGTGTTCATGAGTTTGCTGTGCATCATGTCATCCAATGCAATGATTGAACTGACGCTTTGACGCTCCGAAGAAACATAAATAGCAAAGGCTAAAGGGACAAACAAAGAAGACAGTATCGTTGCCTGCTTCAGGTGCAGTTTATGGTGAAGACTGTTGACCCAGACGATCCGAAAAGTGGCCGGGTCAGGATCCTACCAACGTGATTCACAGATGTTTACTTGTCACACCTGTAGGCTATCCAGCCCACTTGTCATGGCACTGTAGTTATGGTAGCGATAGATGTTGATATTAGTTTGTTTGTGGACGCCTTAGGTGGACCAAACCATCACCATGTCCTGCCCTGCAGCGGTGGACGTCTCTTTCTGTGCCTTCACCATTCAGGCCGTGTCGGGAATTGACCTTGTCTTCAGAGTCATTTCTACAGAACAGTCACAACAAGAGAAGCTCGCTCTGATAAGGCACCCTTTTAAAAGGGCCCAAATGAACAGCTTTGTTTTACCATTGTTGGTGAGGTCCAAGATTGAAGGCCATTGAAGGCTTTTCAAAGTTGTATTATATAGATTTGTCCAAATGTAAGGCTTACAGCAGAAAGATGGAAAGATGTTAGGCTGTTAGGCTGCGTGACACTGTCTTTTCATTACACTACATCTCTCCCGTGCCCTCCAGCTTGCAACAGTCCATACTGCTTCAAAAGGTCAGTTGGGGAGCACTCCCGTGTAATTGCAATTTTAAGCGCAGGGTCAGGGTATTTGCGCTGCAAAGCCCGTCCTAAGAATCAGAGTTACAGCAACCTGCTCCCCAACCAGCAAACAAACCTGGACACCACAGTACTTGCCAAACCTCCACATACCAGCCACAAACTTGAAGCACGCTAGTGGATTAAGCTTACTGTGCTCTAGCCGTGGGCCCGAATAATACCAGTAGCGCGGGTGTGACGGCTGATCTTTGGGTCCTTTCCCACCTGCCATGGCATTCTTCGAGATGCAGATGACCGTCGAGCCGGGGAGAGCTTTTGTGGTGTTTGACATCCACCATGTCATGGATTCGGAGATGACTTTCTGCAAGTTGCTGGCTACCGCTCGTCCAGTGATTCTCATCGGCAGACATGAACGCCTCGAGACCTGTTGATGGTTGATGGAGGAAGGAACGACATGCAATTTGGACCAAAAGTTACACGCAGTTTCTCGCATGAGTTCATTGACCCTTTTGCAGGGCTGGGAGGTCATTTGAGTCGCAACGGCTTAGCGGCAGCTTAGCGTCACTGAACCGCCCCCTTGCCTGCTGCCACGATGGGCTTTCCTCGCCGGGAGTATGACGCCTGACAACACTTTTTAGTGCAGGATATGCAGTGCATAATCCATCAGTTGACCCACCTTCGCAGCAGCAGTTAGCCTTAAGTGAGTGAGGCCAGTGACCTCCGCATTCTTCGCACCATGCAGATCTCAGGCTTTCAGCCCACGCTCCTTCAAAGCCAAAGACCTTCAAGGATACCATGTCACCATGTCCTTGATGGATACTTGCATCCACATGAGGCAGCGCATCTCCTGGGCATTGCGGACATTGCAACTTGTCCAATGACCATGGAGCGGACGGCTAGCTCAAGGCAAAGCCTTTGGAGTGGAGCGCAACTTGTTGAAGCAGTCTCTCTCGCTACTGGCCAGTTCAATCATATTGATCCACTACGTGAGTGGCGAGGAGGGCGCTCTGGCTTGGATGCTCGCCACTGCGGACTGCGGCCTCACAAAGAACACGCCGCATCACTCCCACGAGGCTTATCCATGTCAGTGCTTAGCGTCTCGGCAATCAATACCAAGTCCGCTCCAGGGCACCTTCTTGTTCGAGATCCCAAAATTGCTTTGTTTACAGCAACTTTGTGTCTGCAGTCAGCAGATGCTCGAATTGAGCATTCCTTTTCATTTACCGTTTTGCTTCCGCTTCTCGCACTGCCGCCGTGCGCCTTGCAGCAGACTGGATTGCCCCTCGAAACCCATGGCCTAACGGACTAACGGATCGACAGCTCCCACTACAAGAGCTGATGAGCTCTTCTTGTTTCGGGGCATCGATATTATGGATGACCACACTACAGTATGCGAGCCTGAGTTCTTCATGAAACTTCAGCGGCTGCGCGCCAACCGGTTCACATCCATAGTCAGCAACTCGGATTCTTGCCCCTTTGTGATGCTGGACACTGGCTCGCGCTAGAAGGCGGGCGACAGCTCTATCCTTCATCATCCATGATGGCCTTTTCAATCCCATCAGCGGCTACTGAGCTCAATGACTCATTGCCTTGGATTCTCATCCTGACTTCACTCACCATCAACCAAAAACTCATTCAATCAACCGTCAGTCTCAGTCAGTCAGTCTATGCAACTTGCAAGAAGCAAGAAAGGGCTACGCCGCCCAGTCTACAAGCAGCGAGAGCCATAAAGGAAACAAGTGCAGTCAAGCAGCCGGCCCCGGAGCATCTCTGGCACGCAAACATGTGCTTCCAAGCAAGAGCTGAGGCCTGCGGTGCATTCATGGCAGCCATCTGTTTTGGCTGCCAGGCGCCCGCCCAAAATGCTGAACCAAACTAAACCGCGTTTTTTGCAAGAAGAAGAAAAGTCTTGGCAATGCCAGCGTAGATGTCACACACACAATCACAACTGACGCTGGCCTTCATGTTCCTGCAGCAAATGGTGGGCAGTCCCACCTAGGCCCAAACAGTGACAGCAGCACTGTCCAAAAACATGAAACATACAGCTGTTCAGACACATCGCAGTCAGTGCGAAGTACTTTACAGTCATAGGTTCTCAGGCATACAGCAGTCAGTAAAGCACAAAAACTGAGACTCCGGTTCTGGGCATCATTGCAGCATCCAGTTTTGGGTAGTACACGGTAGTATTTTCGTTTAGATAAAATTTTGCAACTCCAATCAAGGGGCACTCTTCAGGTTTGAGCAGCTCAACGTTTGGCTGTCTTCTTTGTAAATGTCAATCTCATTCCTTGAGCAAAACACAGTAAGTCTTCAACGTAACCAAAACAGATCAGCTTACAACCACATGTTTGGTGTTTCTATTTTTGGGGCTAGCGTCAAGCTAGCTTCTCGCAGCTCCTTCTTGAGGTCTTCCATCAGCCGCTTGTTGATGTGGAAGGTGAAAAAACAGCATATCACAGAAACCTGCAGCAATCAACAAGCAACACTTGGCCAGGAAGACAAGGCAGTCCACAGTCAAAAAGTCAAAAGTTAGCCAACACCATGATTCAGAACATCAGCGCAATCCAGAACAGCACTTGCACCTTGGCAATAGTCCCATGGAGCTGGCCTCAACAGCTTCACCACCATGTCAAGCTGATGCCTCATGTTGATGCTGCTTGATGCAGCGGATGTAGTGTAAAGCGCTGGTTGCAGCTCAGGCGCTCAACATGAGTTGGGATTGCAACCAACACCTCCTTCCCTGAACAAAGCTTAGCTGCGTGGCCAGGCGTTGTGGTGTGAACCTGGAGAACTTGTTTCCTAGTCTGATGTCATGATTTGGCGCTTTTGCCAAACAGCCCAAAGGGCCAATCCAAAAGGACATGAGCTGAACGGGATAAAATAGACGGCGGAAAACGTATGGCACTCTCAAGTCTCAAGATGCACGAAGGTCAGAACTCGCACTGTAAGCAGTTGTCATAAGTAGGTTTCCACACTGGTCACAGAAATGAGCTGAGCATATGGACCAGAAGGCCTTCAAACGGACATTTTGCTGTGCCCCAACACAAGAAAAAACATGCGTTCCAGTTTGCCTTGTCAAAATTTTTTTGTCCCTGGAGTTTGGAGGAACTCTACTACTCCAGGGGTCAGGCCGGATGTGTACTGGAGCACCGTGTTTTCATAATTTTTGTTTGATAGAGTTTTGATGGCGACAATGGTTTGCCTGTCCTAATGGTTCTGTTTAAAAGAATTTCCATTTGGCAAGGTTGTGAAGAGCGGTGGAACTGGCAAGGTACGTTGTCTTACACTGTTGCATGACAGGCCAACCGCTAAGGGGAGTCCTGCGTCAATGGCTCAGAGGTGGGCACCACCAGGTCTAGAGTCTAGAACGTTTTTTGGGTTTTTGGCAAAATCACCAACGTGGCGCAGCTGACTAGTTTTTATTTGCTGTCCTTTGTGAAATCAAGGGATACAAAACTACAGCAGTAATTTCAATGAATCAGCATTGTGACACGCAACTCTATATTCCTCTCTTGGGCTAGTATAGGTTTGGACGTTGATGGCTTTTGTTTTTGAGGTAAGGCTGATCAATCCCGAGTCTGATTCCCCAAATGTAGCGTCAAGTTCAAATGGATGTTGGTGAGTTAGGCATCCAAGCAGGTCTCAAATCCTGAAACTCAACACAGCGTTGATTTTTGTTGTCACTACGTTTTAGTTGTAGTTGTGAAAACATTAAAACATATTTAAAAAAAATATAGATCCTTCTCAAAACAGTTTCGCTTCATTGACGGAGTCCAGAAACATCTCTTCTCAAGACAATAGTTTCGTTCCTGAATCGACTCCGGCTCAGGTCTGCAGAGCAGAGGGCTTAATCGATTTCGAGTGTCACCGTTTGAGCAAAGCTTCAGTGACAGAAAACTTTAGACACACGTGAAAGTGCTACCGCAGTGGAGTCAAAGCTTTGCCTTAATTACATCAAATGTGTCAAATGAGCCCTGAGAAATCTGACTCGAAGTCAGGGGCTCGTTAGTTCAGGCACGTATTGTATCAATTTAGCAAAGAGTGCAATGAGCAGAAAAGGAGACTACTCACCGAACACAAAAGGGCTGGTTGTCATTGGCTCACTAGCTATCTCGCAATGCATTACCAGCTCCATCACTTCATGTTTTGACGCAGGCGACTAAATAGATTGCTTTTGTGGCTTGTGAATATGACATCCAGAATCTACAAGGATTTGCAGTGGCGTTTGGCCACTAATCACTTGCTTTGGGTTTCTGATCACGTGCTCAGCATATTATGTGCTTCGACAGATTTCGGCTCAAAAAAGAAGCTGCACACCTCCTGAGGTGCCGCGAGGGTGGGTAATTGTAAGTGATTTCACTTTTGCAAAACGTCAACCACAGCAACCGGTTTCAGAAAGAACTCCGCAATTGGCGGAAATCTGAAGATTAAAGAAAGTGTTTGCAAGCCCTTCTAGCACACTAGAGACCTCGCCTCAAAACTGGTGAAACTTCGAGGACTTGAAAGGCTCCAGACAGCAGCCACTTTATCAAGAATGGATTGTGTTCAAAGCAGTGTTTGGCTGACAAGCTCATTTGGCTCAAGGAGTTTTTCCATGCTGCCAGGATTTAGTGCTTCGATAGCATACGTATATATATATATTATATTTAATACTTTGTAGTAGCATTTAGCAATATGTTCGCCAAAACAGACTACAGTAATTTTGTGCTGCCACTGCCCTCACCCTCCAGCCAACTTGCTTCCATGTGCCGAAGACATTTCCTTCAGAACCTAAAGAAACAAGCAAGAATGAAGAGGTGCAACTGCCAAGCTTATTGCGAACAATGAACAAGTTACAACACACCAAAAACTGTTTACTTCTCTACACTAATCCCGGGCACCTTTAAAACCAGCTACCTAATTAAAAGAAACGCATGCCGGAGACGCCTAAATACACCTTTGCTATTTTCTGCTACTGAACTACACCCAAGGTGATTTTGGGAGTGATTCTTTAATTAGGTACCCACCCACCAGAATCATCACCAATCGTGCCCCTCACTGGCGACACGCCGCATTTACGTGAGCAGTGTTATGTTTTTTTTGTTTAATCGCCTCCGCGGAGGCTACGTGAGGCCGTTTTTGTTGAAGGGTAGGGTACCTGCTGGCTACGCGGTAAGGGGAACTCCGCGAGATCCTACGCGAAATCGCTTTTACTTCAGAGGTAGGTTACGCGGTGCCTACGCGTAATAGTTCCCCTACGCAAAGGCTACGCAAAGCTATAAAACTGCAAACGTAGGCTTCTCAGTGGCTACGCGGTACATTTGCACAAAAACAAACGCTACTCAATGCGCACCCTTCCCAACGGCAAGGAGCCACACAAACGCGCTTTCCACGGCCTTACCCAACCGCATGGCACAGCGACACATTTCGAACCTTTAGTGGTTAGCCTGAAGCATCAAATTTTGATAAGTGTTGTGAATGGAAAAGGACCACAAATCTGGAGGTTTTTTGAACGCTTGATGCGAGTTTAATAAGGTGACTTTTCGCTTTTGAAGCTCTTCCCAGGTTTCCATCTTTGTGGGTCTCTCTATTTTGGGGACCCCCTGATGTTAACAAAAGCGACACCGGAGTTATCTTTTTGGAAGGGGGCCTGTGTCTTTAGTAGGTGGAAGGGATGATTGAGCCACTGATAGCTGGTAAAAACAAAAAACATATCATCAATGAAATCTCGATTAAATTTGCATGCCAAAAGAATGTTGAACACAAGTGCTCTCATGATTTGGTAGCATTTGTTGGGTGTTCTGTTGGTGCCATGCGGCGATCTTTGACACGCTTGCGGCAGTCGCCTGGGCTTCTCCAAATGACTGAGGTGGATTTGTTGCTTGCTTTCCCGCGAACGGCCAAAACCGGCAAAGGCATGCAAAAGCAATAGGCGCTCTTCAAAAGCGACAACCATGCCGCCGCAGTTTTGAGATATGTTCAGCTATGTTGAACGTGTGGCATGGTGCGGCTGGGGCCTGAAAGAGCGAGCGGCCCCGGCTGCCGTCAAAAGTGATCCTTGTTGAAGCATGTGTAGATCAAGTTCCAGCGACATAGACTCTGACTCGTATCAAGCATTGGATCATGCACAGCTTGATAAACCGCGGTTTGGCTGAATTTTGGAGCGACGGACTTGGATCGTGCGCCAGGTAGAGGTTCGCCCAGCCCACGTGCCAATCCTCCTCCACAAGCTCCAGAACTCTGCGGAAGTCTCACATCAGAGGGGCCTAGGAGGCCCTTTGGGGGCCTTCTACACAGAGCTGGGACAGCGCGATTCTGAGGATAACGTTGTTGTGTTTTCGGATGTGCACATGAACGGCGTCCATGAACGTGCATAGCTCTTTCACAATCACTTGAAGTGCTTCTCGAAACACGAGTTGAAACCTGGATTCGATAGCATGCAAATTGTCGCAGGACTTGAAGGCCATGCTCAAAATAGTACAGAGAGGCAAAAACATTGTATAAATTAAACTAATTAATCCAAGTATGTGTGCCCAAGAATCATGCAGCGCCACCCCATGCTACCATGCTCGTTGTAAAACGGAGCCCCCCACAGGTGGCCAGGAAGGGGCTGAATACAAGTCTGGCGAAGATCACTTGGTCCAGTCTCACGGACATTCTGTATGTATGTAATGTAATGTAATGTAATGTAATGTAATGCAATGCAATGCAATGCAATGCAATGCAATGCAATGCAATGCAATGCAATGGTATGTATGTCATGTCATGTCATGTCATGTCATGTAATGTCATGTCATGTAATGTAATGTAATGTAATGTATATAATGTAATGTAATGTAATGTATGTAATGTAATTAATGTAATTACTGTATGTATGTATGTATGTATGTATGTATGTATGTATGTATGTATGT